TATCTTATCTTATCTTATCTTATCTTATCTTATCTTATCTTATCTTATCTTATCTAATCAAGGCATGTTTGCTGTATACAGAGTCCAAACCACAGGAACATCCACTTCTAGTCTCCGTGAAGACAGTGCAGCGCACTTCCAACCGAGCTGTGGGAGCTCAGTGGGATCAACACTGTTGTCTTCACTGAGCCTTGCTGTTGAAGGATCAGCTTCCACGCTCTGAATGTTCTCAGGGGTCTGCTATAGTTACATGCGCATTAAAGGGAATGCATTGAACTGGATGCATAGAATGACCACTTGAACACAAAAAGGTACCTGATCTCATTACCCAGGATAAATGGTATACAAAGCATAATGAACTAGTCCTGGCTGGTTTGGAGACTTGGAATAGTATGTGGTGATTTTCACCCCTAGCTCAACGCTGCGAGCTCTTCAGTGAACATGTAATTTTGTTAAATGTAGACAGCCCACACCCAGAAAGTCAGCATCTGGGAATCCTTCAACCTGACTCCTGTGAACACAACCTGTACGGCCTGATCATAGGGGTGGAGGTTGCTCTTAAAGCTCTTTATGTCTTTTAATCCTACGCAGTTCACTAAGGTCCTGCCCCACCAGCCACTTCAGCTGCATTAAACACACCAAAGAATCACGTAGCAGAGGAGGGCTGTGCAGCAGAGTCGACTTTGTTTCTTTGCTCTGCTCAGAAGACCCCAGCTGAAGATGATTTGTGCCAAGACTAAATGGGAAGAAGAGTATTTCTGCTGTGACACATACACTAGCCCAATCCTGTAGGACCTGGCACTCAGTGATAACAGTTCAGGGCCGCCTCAAGCTGCTCCAAGTTGCGCCAAGAACCCAACAGGCTCCAGGATGGAGGCAGGCCCACAGTCAAAGGCCGCAAACCTTCCCAAGCACTGAGTTCAGTTGGACACAACATCTCTGTTTCTGTCCCAGCTCTTGAAAATCGCTTGCGTGCATCCCTTCTGCAGGCACTGCAATTTGCTCTACTCAAACTCGCAGCTTCCCTGCTGTTACGGTGAGAAAACAGTCCATACACCTTCTAAGGCTTCTCTGAGCAAAATGGTCTGGAGAAAGGTCAAGACATTTTTCTGACAACAAGAGCCTGGGCTCTTTAATCTTCTAAGGCTGTTGAACCAATTCTGTATGTGTGTGGCTCAGTAGATTTCTGGGTTTATGCCTCAAATTTGTAGAATATCCGAGGCAGATCAGACTCCTCCTATCTAACTTCCAGGTGGTCTGTTTGTAGAGTATGCGTAAAAACACAGTTTGTACCACATTTGAGTATCCTTTAACACGAGCATGTGTAGAATTTACTTCAAATTAAGGACTGATTTATGCAAGCACACAATCCAAAACAGACACACTGCCTGGCACAGCTCCAATGCCATTCTGGGCTTTTCCCTGGTTAAGAAACTGCATTCTCCAAAGTATAGATGAAGTGTATTGAAAAGGGAGAGAGGAGGTGAGTTTGCAGGCAAAAGATGAGCTGCTGTTTGTTCCTTAGAATTTAAAAGACCAAGAGGAATGTAATTCTGGGAAGCCTGATAAAAAAATAATACTAAGAGGCTAGCTGCCAATTTAGGCAATATCTGTAACAAAATAAGTATGAGCCACTTCAGAAGAAATCATTTGAGAATCCAGCTGCTCTTTTTTTGCTCCAAAGTGCCAGGCGTAACAACAACAGCAAGGATCTTCAATGAAATCTGCTTGTGATTACAGAATGATGACAGGTAGTGAACAAGAACTCATTAAAATTCTGTCTTCTGAACGCAGTGAAAGACCAGTAGTATCACACGAAGGCCAGGCATTCTGGAATCTCCTCAGCACTTGGTGAAGGAAGACTGCAAGGCAGCATACAGTGCCAGAAGACCCTCAAGGCTCTGATGACTCTAACCAGAATGGCACAGTGGGAACAGTGTACGGGTAGATATGTCATGGCTGGCTCAAGAGGCTCACGTGGCTCTTGTCTGATCTCTGTACCGAGGCGCCTTGAAGAGGCTGTATGCAGAAGGACCTGATGACATCCTCCATGGCCACATCTCAGAGCAATGGTTGGCTCCCATGCTACAGAGTTGAGAAATGCAGGTCAAAGCCTGCATCTTTTCCTCCTTCTCTTTCTTCCTTTCTGAATCCAAATCACTGCTTCTTTCACACACAGCAGCTGACCTCTTGCCTTGGTGCAACAAGGAAGCTGTGAAATATTTCAGCACTTTGCTGCTTTGCTAGTTCACAGGCAGGCAACACTGAAGTCATCTTATCCATCATCAGCCTTCACAAGAATACTCCAAGTTATTAGGAAAGTCATTTTAAGAGAAATGCAATGTTCATATGTTCAAAAGTTCAAACACTTTTGCATTTCTCTATAACTATACATTTCTGGAGTCCCAGAAACTCTAAATTGTATCACTTCAAAATCCAGGATTTTCATCTTCAGTCTATGATTTGATGACAGAAACACTAAAGAAGAATGAACATCCCGACATTTCCTCAAGAAGTAGGATCAGAAATGACTGCTCTGCATGGAAAGCACTTGGGTCCCCTGGGCAGAACTGTCTTCTCTGGCAGATGAATAGTGACAGTGCAGATCTTCAAGCACCTTCTTTCAGTTAGCATTTGCTGCCCTTCCACATTCACCAATTCAGTTCCCATTTGGTTTTAGCAACTGGTATCTCAGGACCCATCAGAAACAAATCTTTTTACCATTTGCAAGTAGGAAATTATGGCTTCCAAATTACATGAGATAATTATGTCTGTTTTGCACGGCACATAAAACCTTTATGGAATTTGTCACTGAGCTCATCAGCTGTCATAGCAGCCCCTTTTTGAAGGTAGACTGTTTCTTCACAGGGTAGGAATTACCTTGTTTAAATCAGTCTTTCTGCTGAAGACACTTCATAATTACCATGTCTATCCTTCATGAGGGATAACAGAGCCTAAAGATTATATCTGCACACGGCAGGGCCTCAGGTAACTCTTGCTATAATTAGTAATTTATCTGATCTGAAAGTCTTATCTGGATTCAAGTTTTTTCAAGAAGAAATAGCCCTGAGATCTATGTTTCTGGCACCAGCACTTTGCTCAGAGAGAGATGTTGGACCATACACTCCTCTCAAAAGGCTGAGCCGTCCCAAGCATGGGAACACTGGAATTATTGGGACCTCATGGGGCTGCACTATACCAGAATAGTGTCTGCGTCTTCCCTCATGTTTCAGTGGGGGGATGCTGTCAGAATGAACTTACAGTGCCACAGAGACATCAAAGGCAGTGACAACTACCCTAAAACACAGGTCTTTGGTGTAGAAGGGCTGCTCTCATCTCACACGCATGGAAAGTGTCGAGGACCACAGCAACTGGTCTCTGTCCTACGCAGCTCCTTTGTGTCAGAAGAGCTAAGCCTGGGAGAACTGGGAGAAACTGCTGATACAATGTCTTTCCCACTATACCTGATCCTTCACTGGAAAGTGAGAACACAGGAGCTCAGCAGAATGCGTTATGACTTTTCCTACTCCTGCCAAAACAGTGGAGTACCAAGAGTGGAGGGGAGTTGTGCTAAGTGTAGTCCAGCTCACAGCCCTTACAGGAGAGATGATGGCTCTGTTCAGATTCATCAAGGCCTGAGGAGGCAAGTTGTCTAGCAAGGATCACACCGTGTAGTGGCAGTGGGACTAGGCTGAGATCCACAGATGTAAATATCTTTGCCAGAACCTCTCCACTCCGAGGTGTCTGGAAGAAAACCATCAGCTCTGGGCTTCCCCAAGCTGGGCATAGTGGGGCCTGTTGTGCTTTGATGCTGACCACAAAACTCCTGGGCTCAGCAGCCAGGCTGGGCACTGCCTCACCTCACTCAGTGGCTGGGCACAAGCCATCATGTCCCACTCCCAGGGCACCAGATCAGGCTTACTCCGTGGGAGCCCAGGGGCAGACAGAGGTGTGCGCTGGCTTGGGTACATTCATCTCCAGCACTGAATCAGACTGTGCTCTCATCCACATCAGGCTTGGAGGGTGAACCAAGATGCTGTTGGGCTTTTTAAATGGGATAAGTTTGAACCAGAGGTGAAAAACTCTCACATCCTGTTCCACATTCCTCAGACTATGCAGCCCCACTTTAATCCCACCAAGAAATTTCATTTTAAGTATACACAATGCTTCTCTTTGCTATTTTTCTGTTCTTTCAGATTTTAGCATTTGAAGGGTAACAATAAACAACCCCACAGCCCATTACACAGGTAGGCACACAGTAGTGAAGAGCTGTGTGCTAAACCCATTTCTGGGCCCATGAGAAGCAGACTGGGGGGGGATAAAAGGCAAGTCTCTGCCAGGCACCCCTCAGGTGGCTGTGTCCTTCTGCTCAGAGGACAGGAGGTGTCAGCTGGGGGCAAGGAGCACTGACACAGCTCAGGGAGAGCTCAGGGACCTGACCTTCCCCGAAGCTGCAGAGGAAAAGGGAAGAAAGGGAACAGCCAGGACAGGTGTATTCATCTAAGAAAAGAAGGAGACGTCAGGAACAGCAGTGGCACTCACACAAAAAAGAAAATAGGAACCTTTTTCCCCTTCCCTCACCTTCTAGATTCCCATTCTGAACCTGCACAGCTTGAACTGCAATTGCCAGAATTTCAGAGCTACCTCTCCTGCAGTTGCACAGAAGTCTCCTCTCCCACAGCCAAGTAATTTGCATGTTGACACAAGAACTACACTCACTTACTTGCAAGACAGCTGATTAATCCCTTCGATGTAGTAGCATACTCCTCCATTGACACAATAGGATTTGGCTGTTTCGTTGCATTTTCTAGCATGCCCAGACCAGGAGGAGAGAGTTGTGGTTACTGCAGGAAAAAAAAAACAACACACACACAAACACAAAAAGGATATAATGTTATTTCCTTTGTCGGACAATTCTGTTTTCTTAGATGATTTTTAATTAGCTCACTTGCCAAAGTAAAAACCCTGGAGCTACAGACCTCAGCCCATGCCTTTAGACCTACGTTCACCTTTCCAGGTGCTGGGGCTGCAACTTAACCTCACTCTTCCCAGAAGAGGCGGCGAAGTGAGTGGGCAGCTGAGGACTTGCCCTCCTCCAAGTTACTAGCGTGTCAGGACAAGATCATCCTTTTGGTAAGCTTTGTGGAGAAGTGCCCTTTCCCAGCTCTCCTTCATCCTTCTTTTTCATGTGCATGCAATCCAGCACTAGGAAGCCCAACGCATTCTCAGAATCACAGGGCCAGTTGGCATGCTGCTGAGGCCTGATTTGCATCCCAATGCTGGACCAAGATCCAGAGATTCTGCAGAGGACACTTCAATGATAGGAGGATGCTTCGATTGCTCCACATCTCCCAGAGGAAATGATTTCTCAGCTCATGAAGCAAATGTCCTCACTGTGCCCACAACAGGTCCAGTGCAAATAGAAACAACTTTTCCGCCCCTATTTCTGAGCATGTCTCTGTAGTGCCTCTGGTTCTGCTTCTAGAGACCAAACACGATAAGGCAGCCAGTCCCAGTCTGTGCTAAGAAGAGGGAAGTAAGCATGACTCAAGTTTCCCTGGGTACAGATGCTTTTCCAAAAGCGTCCATGGCTTTCCTGCTGTGTAAGGCACAAATAAAACGGAAGTTGAGGATAGATGATTCCACCAACACTGCAAAGAATTCCCCACAAACACCCCTGAAATATGAAAACTCCCAAACTTCTGTCGGGAAATTCACTTCTTCCTTCCAATTAATCTTAGTGGGATCTCTTCCAATTCAGTTTAATGGGAACTAGAAACCAAAACCATCATAATGGCTTTGTAATGAGTCTGTATGATTTTTATAGCAGCACATTACTTCCATGACCTGTGGGGAACTGCTTGTTGAGGACGGGGGAGCTCTAAAGGATAGCACCTACAGACTGCAAGGCCGCTCCTTCAGCTGAGTACTTAACACCATGCTGCGTTGATGTTTTAGCACCAGAGTGAACTACAGTCCTGACCAGCAAGAGATTCATCTGATTGGCATTATAACAGGATTTTCATCCAATCATAATCTATTTTCTTCTTTTAAACAGAATTAGAAAAGAGACTGACATGAATGAGGCTCGGGAAGTGCAAGTTGTGCATGTCCCAACAAGAGCTGTGTCTGTCCGAAAAAGAGGCGGTTGGTCAGTTCTCCTAGGAGCACCTTGTTAAAGTCATTATTTCTTAAATCCCATTTTCTGCAAGTCCCGTGTCTTTTCTTTCAGCAAAGCACAAGGTGTTTTAAAATTGAGTCACAAAATCATATTCTCACAATCTAGATGTTCCAAATGCTACGAAAAAAAGGTAGACAGCTCAGGTTTTGATTGAGAAGAGTGTCATGAAATGCAAGCTGCTGTCAGAACGAAAGCTGAGCTCTACTGGTCAAACAATAGCCCCGACACGAGTCTGACAAATAGGCAACGCTTACGGAAGGGCAGATCAGCATGCAATGACAGTTTTCTTCTGGCCATCTAGGATGGGCAGCTAAGGCCATCAAGTCAGCCGCAGTGCCTGTGATGGATCTCTCTTCTATGAATGTGTCTAGCTGCTGCTTGAACAGATCTAATCTTGTAGCATCCACATTATTTGTGACAAGAACTCCAGTGTTATGTACACAGTGTGAAAAGGCACACCTCAATTTACTTCTTTGAAACCTGACCCTTTCTAGCTCTTGCACCAGAAGAAAAGAGTGTTCGTTTCCACACACTTCCTCTGTGCTACCTGTGGCTTTGCTGGCACAGGCAGCATCTTCTTTGCCAGCTAGAGCACAATGATTTAGTAGCCTCCTACACACAGGTTACTTTGTTGTAATCCTTTTTGTGCCATCTTTATTTCTACTTTTCCTGCTGGAGATGACAAGACCAGAACTGCAGGTAAAGTGTGGCCCAGGGATGCACACAGGGCTCATAATTCCCAATGTCCATTTTGAGATTAGACCTACTGAATGCAGACCCTTATTGATAATAACCCTGACAGTGAGTGCAGAGCCTCCAAAGGGGCTTGACTGCTCTGGGATATTGCCGAGGCCAGAACCTCATGCCCATGGGGCCAGAAGCTAAGAACAGTTAGTGAGGAACCTGCCAATGCAGGGAGCAGGAGCAGCGAGAAACAAAATGTCTTGCTCAGAAAATGTAATCACATCTGCTTTGCAGTGCAGCCCCTCTGGGCTTGAAGCATGAAGCATGGAGACAAAGGGGATTTCACTGGGTTTCCACCACACTAGCAGGATAATTCACAGACTCACAAGCATTCCATCACTGTTCTTTGTGTGTAACTGTATTTCCTCATCAGCCTGAGCCACTGGAAATACCTTTGCAAATACCTGCTCCTGAGTCATCTGCAACTCAGTAACTGATGTCAGCAAAGCGAGTTCCATGTGCAGTTTATCTGCAGTCATGCATTCACCTCTGCTCCAAACATCTCTCAGGTGTGCCTCGTGACCCAGGGAGACTTTCTGCAATTACAGCACCTTCATTGCCGTGTCAGATCAGGCAGATTTTACTCCCCACTGACTGGTGTGGTAGAATGAGGTCTTCATTCAGCTTCCAGCATAACCCAATCTACTCCAAAGAATGTGGAAGTTATAAGGTTATTGAAATAAGTGGAGATCCGAGTAGATCAGGGAGCGGTTTGCAGCAAGAAATGGCATGTTAGCTGCAACCTGGGTGAAAAGGGACTGGGTGAAGGTAGTGGGAGAAAAGGAAAGGATCTGCGCAGTGACATCAGTCATGTATCAGCTGCCTCCTCCAAGCACTTCAACAAATGAAGAACAAGAAATATGGAGTGTGCATGAAAAGTGCTGCAGAAAAGAAGTGGTACAATGAGACCAGTGGGAATAAGTATGGCAAGCCCTGAGGCAGGGTCCTCTGTGAGCCAACTGGACACAAAGCTCTGGCAAGGGGGAGCAAAGCCTGGAGCAGCTCACCCAGCAAGTCTCCAGCCAGGCTCAGTGCTGGGGCTGAAAGCAAAGGAGAGGGATAAGGAGGCGAGGATGGGCAAAGAGGGCTGCCTCTGACTGATAGGATTGTGAATGACTCTCCTCTCCTCTCCTCTCCTCTCCTCTCCTCTCCTCTCCTCTCTTCTCCTCTAAGCAGAAAGGACATTAATAGTTATACCAAGAATCTTATGCAACTCATATCATGCATGTTGTTTAGGCTTTGCAGTCAGCTCGTCAGGGTGTTCTCAGGAATCAAGTGAAATATTCTGCCTTCAGTCTCCAAAGGGTTAATTAATGCAGCCTGGACTATAAATTATAGTTAATTTTTCACAAACTCCAGCTACTGTCGAGGAAAGCAGGGAAACAGAGATAGTTTCACTACTCTTTTTTTTAAATAATGTTGCCTAGTGAGTTCATGGAGTACAGACACTTTACTCTCTCAATATTTAGACATTCAGTTAGACGGATGAACTCAGCTGGTCAGACAGTGTATACAAATTGCCTGCTCTGTATATGCCTCATGTACTTACTGATAAAACACAGAATTGCTGAGGTTCCTCTCTACCTAGTTCATCCAACTCCTTGTCAGGGAAACATGGCTGAGAAGGTGTCTGGCAACCTATTCCTCAGCTGTAGCAGTGTAATCCTAGAGTGAGCCACACTAAATCCATGATTTACGCTGATGAATACATGGAGGGACTGTTGATCCTAACCATTCTCTCGGTGGCAGATTTTTGTACATTTGGTACAGCGCTCTTTTCTCTCACTAGAAGTGAATGGACTCTGGATGCTCATTGCTGCTATCTGTACGTAAAATCAGAAGGGCTTGCACAGACTGGGACTTGCCTGGCAATGGATCAGTGACTCTAGAGCTCATAAAAATTCTGCCCCTTTGTGTTCCTGTGCGTTTATTCATTTGGAAATGTTCCAGCATTTACTCCTGCATTTTTTTGAAATAGATCCTGCTCAAATTGCCTTCCCATCTCCTGTGGGGATCACGAGCGTCAAAAGCCAGACCAGAAGTTCACCCAAAAATACAAATGCCAGACTTCAGTACAATCACCTGAGAGCAACAGATACGGCTGATCAAAACCACACAGGCACATGTTCTGTATGGACTGTCCACACGTGTCACTGCATAACAAGTTTAAAGACTTAAAAGCACCAAGGGACTGCCTGTTACTGAGGGATGAAGTCCTGCATAATCAAAACCCCACCAGCTGCTTCTCCCAGCTGATCTCTCCAGTTTTATGAAGTAGCTCTTCCTAAGCTTTTCTGTATGTTTTTCTCTATGTTTTAGCACCACATCATTTTATTTTTCCAAATCTCCATCATCAATTGTAATGGCAGCAACATGATACTTTAGTGAGGAGATCTGCTCAACAACTGAAAAAGCGGGGCTAGTGCCAGCACAAATGCTTTGCAGGCTGGGCAGCTTAAGCCCAAGAAGAGAAGTAGTGTGACAGGATGGAGTCAGACCACCAGGCAGATCCCCTGGTACATAGCCTCCTTCTCCAAAGGCTGGCCATACTGCCTTACTTCTTCAAGGGGATGTCAGCTTCCAACCCACGCTTTACTTTTCACAGATGGACTTCCTTTCTGTGCCCTTAGAGTCGTAATGGCCTGTCTCAACGTTACACCTTCAGCAGCGGGCAGAATGGTTACTTCAGAAATATGCTGTGCAAAATAAGCAATGAATGTGATCTAACACAACACAGACATAGCACAGCTCTGAAGATCGACAATGAGATCTCCGGCACATCCTCCTCAAAGTACCGTGCCTGCATACGTGCAGGCTTCATTCAATTACCAACCACACCTCCGGCTCTGGACTCTAAATTTAGGCTTTTAAGCAAAGGCCGCACCAGGTCTTATTTTAGTCTAATCTGACAACTGGTCTGTCTGCATGATCCTTGGCAGAGCAGCTTTTATCTGCTCCAGCCATGCCCCGAGCAGGCTGGACACCCTTCCACCCAAAACTGACAGCACCATGCTTGTGTTTGGATCAATACTCTAGGAGAGTACCTTTAGTACCTCTAGGAGAGTGCCTTTAGACCGGACTGACGTGGGGTGAATAGTTATTGACCTCACAATCGTCATGCAGATCTGCCATGGCTATCCAGTAAAGACCTGCCAGACAGGCCTTGAAGGAGCATGAGGAAAATTGACTGAATTTTATTTACTCAGCACATCTTACTGTGGTAGATGCTCAAGTTTTGCTTCAATCAGATCAGTGACTGATCAATCAATCAATGCTTCAATCAGTGACTTGCAAACCACACCTGAGAAAAGACACCACTGAGCCATTGTAATTGTGGCAGCCCACCAGGTTTATCTCACTTGGGAGAGAGAAGTACTGAAAGAATTCCCATTGTTTACCATACTAAGCATTGGAGAAGGCAGCAAATAGGAGAGACTGAATGAAGTCCAGTGACGTCAACAAGATGCACAGAGAAGTGGACTGTATTGGAGAAAGAATGGCTGTTTCACCTACCCTTCCAGATGATCTTTAAAGGAACTTAAGGGAGTGGTTGAATTACAAACCCTGCAATTCAATCCACAGAGCCCAGCTTTCACCCAAGTACATCACATGTACACCAGCACAACTCAGCACTGCCTCTCTTGCTCTGTCTCCATCTTCCTGTCACCTGCTCCCAAACCTCACTGTGCTGCAGAGCATCAGTGAAGTGAAATTAGATGGCCAAGCAAACACTGCCCATCCCACGCAGGCTAGCAAAGGGAAAGCATTCAGCCAGATGATCCGGATAGTGGCCCAGATGCTACAGTGATCCACATGTTGTTTTAGAGCACCTGTCCATCACTGTCTGATGATATCCAAACTGCACTTCCTGCACCCAGCCTGTACGCCTTTAATGCTTAAGAGTTCACCTGTTTGTCCAAGTCAAGGAAAGGGATTAGAGGAGAGCCCAGTAGCAGAAAATGAGCAAAAGAAGTTACCTGCCCTTTTCAGAGACTTCAAAATTACCACCTTCTGGAAATGAAATGTGGGTAAAGTTTTAGTATCTTTATCCTGCATAGACTTTACATCTCAGAATGCTTTACAGATTGCTCTGTACTTTATTCCATTTTGTATCTGTTAGAATGTTTCTGAGCTTTGATAATGATTCCTATTCTGTTTACCACGCAGGTCTGTAGCCACAGACTCCAGAACCTTGTCTGGCTGCTTCATGCTGCACAGTGACAGGATCACATTACCATTTTGAATACTCTGCATGTTGGAATGACTATAAAGGACGTTTCTCTCTTCATCATGACACACGATCAAGTTACCCCATCCCTAAAAGTTCCTGCTTGTGAGCTGAGCCATTGCAGCCATCCAATGCACAACCTTAGCCTGTGACAAACACAAGACAACGTGTCTTATTTAACACTTTTTCCGATGGACAAGGCTAATTTTTTAAGCAAGCATCTCTGTGGATGCTCTAGCAACACAAAGACATAAGTATATATTCAGAAAAGGGGAAAGACAGCTGTATCGTGGCAAAATACATAACATCACAGAAGCAATTTTTCAGACAACAGAGATTTCCCTTTGGAATCTGGACTTCAGAGTCTAGCTTGACTATGTGAACTAAAGCTGCTTAAGATTGACACTACGCCTCTGTGACCAGGCCAACTCACATCATACTCCATGGCAGAGCTTGTTACACCTGCTAAATGGCTCTCACCTGAAGGTGTTACACCACTGAAGGAGTGGTGCCCCATGCATATACCCCATAGTGGGTATAGTACTTCCCCCAACTATACTGTTGCCCCCACATAAGCTCTACTGGGATGCAAGGCAGATTTGAATCCAGATCACTTGAGTTTGCTGGCTTTAGTCCCAAATCCACACTGACATCAGGATTGTCTTTACAGCGGAAAACAGAAAACGTCATGAGATGCCTGGATTTCTCTTTACCATCATGAGATCTGTGAGACCCATACCAACCAGTGCCCTGCCAAAGGGAGCCAGGGGCCCTGCTGCAGGCTGCATGCAGCAAAGGGAACAGCAGCTGGGGAAGAGATCCCATGTACACCATCATAACGACATTTCTAAGAACTGGTGGTACAGGTTTGCTCCCATGCACCTAGTAGCTTCATGTCAAATGCCAGCTAGCCAGGGGAAGATGTTGAGATGGAAAGCAGTAGGACAAACAACAGACTTCCAGAGAAGAACATTAGCCAAGAACAGAACAGCTTGGAGATGTGGGTTGTGTTTCAAGTCCTGTCAAGGCATCTGAGCCTGCCTTGTGCCAAGTGTGCAGCAGCAACCAGAGGTCTGCAGCCATTGTTGAAGAGGAGGGAAGCAGGATTTGCTGGCAGTTACACTTACAAGGTGGTATCTAACAGTATTTAACAGGCTAAACAATACTCCAAAGGGGAAATATGGGCAGAAAGGCAGCAATGTGCCCAAGCTGCCTGCACATGGCACACTCCCCTCCCAAGGAACTACAGCTATCACCGAACTCCAGTTCACATAGTGCTGTCCTAAGATAGTGTTTAAAATCCGGTGGATTTCATTCAACATTTAAGTGAAAAAATGAGGTGAGAAAACCTGGGACTACAGACAAGCTTTTGAATATAGACATGTACAGTAAATGCATGAAGTGTATAAGAATGAGATACTTATCATCCTTCCAGATAGTCAGAACTCACAACATCTTCATTACTTCCCCGTATGTTAGACACATGCAGCTCTGTGATGGACCAGCAGTGATCATGCATGAAAATCAGTGATAATGTGTTATTAGCTTAAAAGTTGAGAGAGAGCATAAAAAAGAATGTAAAGGAAATAGTTGATTACAACTTTATGTCTGGAGACTTTACCACCTCTTCGTATCAGTAAGAAAAATGCAGACAGCCAAGCAGGCATTACCACACTGAGAGAGCAAAGGAAAGAAGTTCTTCCAAAGGAGAGAGTTCTGTGCAGGTCACACGGCATTTTTGCACGTCTCCATTCTATTGCTGAAATTTTGCTTTCACTGTAATGAGCACATATATAATGTGATGAAAATGTACTGTATGGACCTATGCTGATGAGCACAAAGGAAAAATCCTGGGGAAAGATGGTACAGTCATTGCATCAGTACTGCCACATCCCAGCGTGATGTGACCAGTGTAGTGGAAGGCCAAGAACAATGAAAGAGCAAATCATAGAATTACAGAATTGTAGAACCATAGAATTATAGAATCACAGAAAGGTCTGGGTTGGAAGAGGCCTTTCAGATCACCTAGTTCCAACCTCCTGCTATAGGCAGGGCCACCTCCCTCTAACCCAGGCTGCTCACAGCCCCATCCAGCCTGGCCTTGGATGTTTCCAGAGTGGGGGCAAAGCCTCTCTGGTAACTTCTTCCAGTGTCCCACAGGAAAGAATTTCTTCCTAATATCTGGTCTAAATCTAACCTCTTCCTTTTTAAAGCCATTTCCCCTCATCCTGTCTCTACCTGCCCTTATGAAAGTTCCTCCCATTTCCTATAGGCCCCTTCAGGTACTGGAAGGCTGCTATAAGGTCCCCCCAGAGCCTTCTCCAGATTAAAGAGTCCCAGCTCTCTCAGCCTGTCCTTGTAGGGGAGGAACTCCAGCCCTCTGATTGCTTTGTGGCCCTCCCCTGCATCTGCTCCAACAGCTCCACATCCTTCTTCTGCTGAGGACCAGAACTGGAAGCAGTGCTCCAGGTGGGGTCTCACAAGAGCAGAGTTGAGGGGCAGAATCACCTCCCTCAATCTGCTGGTCAAATGCTAAGCATAGTCTAAGCAGAAAAGCTTTCAGAATCAGGTTTCCTTTAAAATCATAAAAACGGAGCTTTCCAAATAGAAGAAGTTCCTATAAAATCTGGACAGCGGAACTGTCACCACAGAGGTGCAGCCAGCGGCACTGTCCGCTCAGCAGCTGGGAAGGCGATGCAGCACAGACGCGGCAGTGCCCGCTCGGCGCTCGGCTCGCCTTTGCACAGGCGCCCGGCGGGCTGTCCAGCGTGCTGATGCTCCCTGCGAGCTGCGGTGCCCCGAACAGCGAGGGGCTCACAAACACTGCGTCCCATGAGGAGACAAGCCAACAGCCTGGCTCCCAGCTACACTTGCATACATTGCTCCACGCTTTGATGTTCATTTGTGCCTATTTTCTACTGCGCTCACGACAACTAAATCCGAGGGAGCGTTGAGAAGTAGTTCCACCAAATCAAAACACATCAAATCAAACATTTTGGGAAATCTTCTCTTGTTTTCTGGAAACTCAAGAAATAATGTGCAGCAGTGAGCAGCTGTATTTTCTGCCTCTTTCTTTTGACATATTCTTATGCCCTTATGTCTCTTCTCTAATATTTCCTGAAGCCTGCTTTGTTTCGCTTTTTTTCACCTAGACCCAAAAAGTTTAAATAAAATAAATCTGTAAACCAAAGATTGCAACAAGCACATCTTAGAAGTATCAATAAATCCATGCACTGGAAGAGCTGCAGAGACTTAAAATCCACCCCCAATTTTAAGTAGTGTGTTCTTCAAACTACCGTTGCAGCAGCTATTAACCTCTCCCTCTCCAAGATGGACACAGCAATATAAATCATATTTTGAAAGATTTAGTGGAAGATCAGGGCTTTGGGAGAAATGAAAGAGGAGTAGCAATTAAAGAAGATTCCAGGAGGCAATCAAGCATTTACGCAATTTGTGTCATAAAAACAAAACAAATAAGGGGAAAGAAGCTGTATGGGAGTGGGGGGGAAAGGTACTTACACTCTTCTTCCATAACAACTATTTTAGTTTCTGAGGCTGGTAAAACTTGTGGTGCTTTCGTTGTTCCTGGGGAAATTAAGGTAAGAAAGTAGTGAACAAAATATCTAATTCGAACAGAGAAGATTGGGCTTAGCTATGCAGGGAGGAGAACGAGGGCAGGTGCTGCTGGCGGAACGGGCTGGGGAGGCTGCTGACACGTTAGTACTGGTGAGGGGATGCTCAGATGGATCACTGGGGGAGAGGCAGACAAACAGGTGTCCCTGCAGGGGGATGGCACAGCGCACGTCGGTCCCTTGTCATAAGGGGACTTACACCACGATAAAAAGACAAAGGGCTCAGGGTTCACTGGGTGTACGATGAGTGAAACCACCACAGGTTTTCATTGCCCTAACAGCTGTGAGAGTGCAAAGAGCACAGCAGAACAGTGAGAAAAATGTGGAGCTGAAGAAAAGTCGAGATGGCCTCATGATGGCAAGCCTCCACCCTGTACTGGCAGCTCTGTGACAAAAAGGAATGCTCTTACAAGGAATGGAGGAGCTGGAAAGAGATGAAGGCCAAGGCCAAAGGCAGCGTGGGAGCCCAGCACATGTAGTGATTACCTCTTTACAGTGCAAGAGGCTGTGAAAGTCCATTGTCCACAGCCACTAAGGCAGCTGTCAGCAAAAGCCCCTTCTGGATCAAAGCCCCTCCTGACCGCCAGAGTCAGGGAGAAGAAAGCACCAGGAGGCAATGCTGTGTGAAGGCAAGATGGTGAGGCCACTAAGAAAAGGGAAATAGAAGGGAAGCAAAAAGGTTTGTAGGGAAAGTTAAAGTTTTCCCAGAGTTCTTAGCAAAGGAGGTGGTGGGGCATTAGTCAAGGAGCTGCCTAGTAATTTTCTGAGGAAAAAGAGTCTGAAACTGTCACATCTCAGCTATGCTCTCATTCGCACTTGTGATGCCAATATTACACTACCAATAGAGAGGAAATGGGACATTCTTCTGAGAAAGCATCTAATTTACCTCAGAGTAATAAAAATCTGAAAAGAGCACCAAAGCACAGCAGATTTTGATGAAACCCAGAAGCATTTCCTCAGAAACCGACAGCCTTCCAAAGCTTTTCAAAGGGAAAGCTTCTATTTTCAAGCTGGGTATTTTGTGGAAATTCCAGAATTGCAGAGGAGGAATAAGCTGCAGGGTTTGGCCAATGGGCATTTTCTAAGAGACAAAGGGCCATGGCACTGCAGCCAATCTCTTTCTAAGGAAAATCTCTTTTCAGTGTGGCATTTTCAGTGATTTGAGTCAGATATATGGGACTAAAGTGGTTCTTTCTGCAAGTGATAAAGGCTGAAAAGTTATAGTGGAATAGAATACAGCAGTGAGTACTTTGCAACAGCAACTCTGCCTCATCAGGCTGAAAAATGCTTGTCAGCAGAGACATCCCCATCCACAGACACAAGGGCCTTGTGTGTGAGCATCTCTGCCAGCCAGGACCCGGGGGGCTCAGGAGCCTCCACCCTCCAAAGGACCCTGTCTCCAGGAATGGGGCAGCAGTGATAAAGTTGAATAGAGAAGCAGAATAACTAGAAGCAGCAATAGTTGGAGTGAGCTTCAGGAAAAGAGGGAGGCTTCAAGGAGAGGGAGATTGTGCACCTCTGATTAATTGCTGTCAACTTGTAGGGTTGTACAGAGCAGAGTTGAGATGTAGTCAGAAAAAGCTCAAAGAGTAATGCAGGCAGGGACAGAAGAGCATACGTGGGTTCAGAGACAAGCAGATATCTTGGGAAGCTTTCTATTGATAGGTATCACAGAACAAAGGAGTGTGCAGAAGTGAGGTGAGGAAAGCTTCCCAGGCCCCAGGAAGGCCCAGCAGTATGGACATTGTGGAAGGAAAGAGGAGGATTCCATATTTGAGTGCACAGGCACAGATGAATGGTGCTCTGCCCTGAGGAGCTCCAGGGACAAGCAACAGAAGGGCACAAGCAAGCAGCAGAGAGGCAAAAGCCTACAGTGATCAACAACATCCTATTTACCTTTGCAAAGGACCACAACTAACTTTTAATTGCAAACACCTGCTCTCCTGCCGGCAGAAGCGAGCTGTGCATGCAGCTCAGCTCAAAAGCCAAAGGTAGATTTTCAAGGCTGCTTAGAGAACAGATTCATCAAGACCCCACCACAAGCAGGACACACCAGGCTATCTTCTATTTACTGGATCTGCAGCCCCTTGCAGCCTGCATCTCCCACCAGGTAAAAGTGATTTTTGTGTCTCTGATTGCTTTTGTACTCTCAAATCATTACTGGGCAACTCAAGTGTGTCCTCGCACTCCCTGCAGCACGAGTGAGAGTCACCTGCTCCTGCCCTGGCCAGACAGGAAGAGTTACACCTGGGAGCTGCTGCAGCCTGATGCGCATTGCCCAAGAGCAGTGAGCAGCATGCACGATGATGCAGTGGGTGCTGCTCCATCAGTCTTCCTCTTCTGCAAGGGCTGGAGAAGTGGAGGAGGTGTGCAGGGCTGTGGCAGCAGGCACTGTCTGTGCTGCACACAGAGGGTTGTACACACGGCTCCCAGCCCAACAGAGCTGTTCATACCACGATGGGACAGCCAGAGCATGAGTCAGAGAAAAGAAGAGGCACTGCCTCTGTTGGCTTGCTCTGGACATTTTCCCTGTCATGATCAGAAAGAAGCAAGGCTAACTTTCCAGATCTGAGCATGGGCTGCCTTCCCCAGGCATTACAAGCACTGGCTTTGTGCAGGAGCAAAACTGAGGGGGAGTATGCAGTATTCCAGCCTCACAAAACATTTGGGACTGCAGACCTTGCTGAGGCAGAGGTTAATACAGAAAACAATGCCAGAAAGCAGTGGGGAAAAAGGCACCTTCCATCACATGTGACCAGTATTATTGAGAGCACAGCAGCAGTGAAACTGGACTGTGCCAAAGGGCCACATGGCAGAGCCAGGGCTCCCGCAGCAGCCATTGACGGCAGGAAGAAGAGCTGAGGCAACAGAGCTCACAGCAGCCATCCCTCCCCTGCTCACACCCTCCCGGCTTCTGGCAACCACTGCAGGGACTTTCAGAGCTGGAGGGAGCATCCAAACCATCATGTTAAGCAATATAATTACGATGACCGAGATAATAATAAAACCACCTAACCTCAGACTCCATCCACTGAGCTCTAAGAGATGGAGCACACATTCTAGGATGAAAACCAGAAGCAACTTCACTCATCACAAAGCTATGGTTTAATTACTTGTCTTCTGGTGTGTTTTGCTTCTCAGAAAATCTTTAAAAAAATAAAACATCAAGCCCACCAGCTTTCTTTCTTCCTTGCTCTTTTTAAAAAATACGTAGACTGTAAGTTTATTTAAAATGTAAATGAACCACATTGCCAGTGACAGATAACTAAGATAAACATTTATGCTAAGCTTCATTTTTCTTATCTCCCAAGATTGTTTTACTTGATATCCTGAAAGCATGAAACAAAATACAAGACAGATCACCTGCAGAACCTCCCGCTTTCTGCTTGAATGACAAATGGCTCAAGACATTTACTGACTTCTTCACTTACCACTTCTCACATTCAGGCTGCCTTTTGCGGTGTCTTTCCCTAAAACGTTCTCCGCTTCGCAGCTGTACTCCCCAGCATCTTCCAGCTTCACCTTGTTGAACTGCAGTCTGGAAATCTTTCTGTTGGAAAGTATAGCAGACATTTCTTACTCAATTGCTAACCATCTTCATGAATTGATAACCATTCCTGGCCCTGCTACACTGCCTGATAAGTTACCCCTTCTGCAGGAGACGGTCTGCCTGATCTCACCAGCTGATCAGGATTCAAATGAGACCCTTCCCAGGAATCACAGCCATCGTCATTTCCTAACTGACCATCTCTCTTTGAACCCACTGCTCTTAGCCTGATGCCACGGTTTGGTCTGACATCTGCTCCCATTCTCAGGAAGGCCATATATGAAAAGTCAAGAAGTCTTGTGAGGGGTTGAACCCAAGACCCCAACTCCCCAGCACACAGACCTGCACCAGAGAAAGGCCACTTTCCTGAAGAACACCAAGATCTGACTGCAGGAAGGAGAGGAGCAGCACGTTCTGCACCTTAGCAAGGAAGACAAGCAGCTCAGCTGCCTCCCTTGCCATGTCCAGCTGTGCTGCACACTCAACCCCCCATGCTATGGTCATGGGGTAATGTACCCATGCATTCCAGCCTGCAAACCAAAGCCCTGAGGTTTGAGCTAAACAACTATCTTGTAGCTTTCTCTGGGCAAACGGGGCAAGCATTTTGTCTCCCCCAAATACACAGACTGCATTGTGTCGGGCTGACATCCACGTGATCATCTTATTGGCCAGAAGCACCTAGGAAGATCAGAAGATGATGTAGGTGATGACTGCTCACCTGGCCTAACAACCCATGCTGTGTGCTTTGTGGGAATGGGAGCTGCACGGGGCTCTGTGGTGGTACAGGAAAAGGCCATCGCCTTTCCCTCCATCTGGCTCATGTCTCGTTCTCCAGGATGTCTCTCTGATGACAAGGCAAAACCCTTTGTTAACTAGTTCAACAGAGATCAATCAGCCTTCAACACACACCAAAGACCACTCATGAGACCACAGGGGAAATCCCTGATCAGACCCTCTGTTTTACATTTCCTTCTGGTTTAGATAGCTTATCAAAAAACACCCTACGCTCTCTTTGGTGAGAACATCTCCCTCTGCTTGCTACCCCAAGTTCTTATCTCAGGTCTGTGTCATACAATCACTTGACAGACAAGCTTGGAAGCACTGGCAGATTTAAAAAGAGGTCCCATTGGCCTACGTTGCTGAAGGCAATATTCCTCTAAAATGTGGAAAACTGTTATGTCTGGAAATATTTGCAACATTGCATATGTCATCTAGGAAAGACTTTGGACTGTGCAAATGATTTTCCATAGAAAGTCCTTCACAGAAGCACACTGAAATCTCTTCAACACCCTGACATGTTGCTCTACTGGGAGCCATGGTGCAAGGACACGGAGTGAACATCTCACTTGCTGTGTTAGCAAATGAAAAGCACTTGAGATGACTTGGTACAGCTCCCAGGATACAGGCAATGCCCTGTTCTGCAGGATGTGGTCAAGCGTTCAATTACAAGAGTTTTGGCCGCATGTGGAACAATTTTAAAATGAATGTTGACAGTGTGTCTCCTGAATTCCACTAATCCTAGGTCGCCACTACTCCACAGTGCAAAGCCAGTTATATGGGCCACCATGCTCGAATGTGGGGGTCTAATCCAACAGGCTGATGTACAGACCTGCTGGGGAGGTATGACAGGCACTGGATGATGGGCTTTGGCCCTGTGGGGCTGTGGAAACCAGTGCAGGACGCCATTCCCCTCTCCCTCCACAGAGGCAGGTGTAGGAACAGTCAGCAAAGGGTCAAGGCCAGGTCCTGAAAGCTGAAAGCGTTAACAAACAGGCTGCCTGCAGCTGCCAGACAACAGTTACTCTAATGATTATTGGCTGCACTGTGATCTCATATGCACAGCACGTTTTGCCGCGTGCAGTAACTGGAAAAATCCACTCTGTATCTCCCATGTCCGTGATCATTTGCAGATAAAGGTTTTTAAATTCCAAATATACAAATTAGTAAGTTATTTAGTGACACAAAAGGCTAATGAAAGGGGTCATACTTGACAGATTCATCTCCAGTAACAGGATGAGAGACATGGTCTTTTACCTGGAACTGGAGGAGAACATGAGCAGAATATAAAGCAGTGCTAGTATTTATAGAACCTCGATATCAAGGTGAAACCAAAGAGGATTATTTTGTTTTAATGCACAAAACTGTTGTACTGTCAAAGGAGATTATTTTTATTTTCTAACGCAGCTTGTTGAATCTCTCCCGGATTGCAAGATCCCCTTAGAAAAATCAAGAGCTTTTTTTGGGACCAATGATCTCAACAGTACAAAGTATAACGTCAGGCAAGAGACCTAGGGCAGAGAGATGAAAGGTACAGAAGAGGATGAGATTTAATGTAGAGCATAGCCACAGCAAAATGAAATTTTCTCTTCCAGTAAGCCCTGAAACAGTCAGAGAATTACCTTGCTTCAGAGCACCACTCTGAACCTTTTAAAGCACATGAATCACAGAATCATAGAACTGTTTGTGTGGAAGAGACCCCCGAAGGCCGTGCAGTTCATCCCCTGCAGAGCACAGGGACACCTGCAGCCCATCAGTGCTTGCAGCCCATCCAGCCAGACCTTGGCTGCCTGCAGGGACGGGGCGCCGCTGCCTCTCTGCGCACCCCGTGCCAGTGCCTCACTGCCCTCAGTATAAAAATCTGTTTCCTTATATCTAATCTAAGTCTCCCCTCTTTTAGTTCGAAACCATGACTAATGACTCTTCACAAGATGAACTCCACTGAAGATGTGAGTGAGATTTGGCCTTACGTGACTTGTGCGTGGCAGAGAGAAAGATGAGCAGTCCGTCTCTGTTCCTTTTTACTACTTTCACATGCTTCTGAAATACCTCAAAGCTGCTTAGGAAATTGGTTTTGCAAGTTTGCATTCTTCCTCCTGTTGCCTGGAGGGCAGACATTTTGCTTCTTTGATGGCCGAGGTGTGTTAGTAAAGAAGTGCCAAGTAACAGCTCCAGGAGGAACCTTCCACAGTTCCCTGTCCCCTGCTGCCCTTCAGGGCTGTGCTCCCTGGGGATGCTGGCCCCTGGGACAGCCCTGCCGCGCTCCTCCCGAGGTGCCTGGCTGCAAGAGGATGCCATTCTTCTGGAGGAAGGCACTGCAGCAGGCTGTTTGTTCAGTGAAAGGGCTGGGGTCACTGACAGATGCCATCATTTCAGTGCAGCGTAACACTGTTGACATTTCTGTACTCCAGGGAAAAATCTGCCTCATTGTATTTTCTGACCCTCAGCACATATGACTTAGCCACGCACTAATTATCTCCTGTAGTGCCAATGGAGGAGTGAGCCATGGAGAATAGGTTGTCCGCAAGCCCTGGGGGATGGAATCCACAAGGAGCCCTTCAGCCTGGCCAGAACAGGATCCCCAAAATACCTTTCCAGCCAAGAGAACAAGTCCCCCAGAGGGCAGTTTGAAGTGCCAATCTGCAGACTACAATGGGAGGCAGGGAGATCAGCCCTCGGCCGAGACCTACACAAAGATCCTGGTAAATCCTGGCCAGGAAGGATGGCCTCATTGGCCGTAATTTAGACATCTCAGAGTTAGACACCGAAATATGAGCTTGGGCCCCGAGGCCTCCCGTACAGAGAGAGGAAAAGAAACAGGCGCTTCATTCCGCCCAGGGAGGAACTTTTTGTGACAGGACTCATGTTCCCACCAGCACTTCAGTTAGCTTGAATCACCTTTCTCTTCCTCCCTGCTGCCAAGTGGAAACTGGACCTTCTTCCCAGGCCCCTTCGTCACAGAGCTGTGCACCTGGGTGCCCGCGCTGCCTGCGGACACCGATCTGTGGGGACTCAGTGAGCCCTGCGTGAGCTCAACTGCTTCTGCATGGTGCAGGGCAAAAATAGCTCTCGGATTATTACTATTGTAGTAGTTTATGAGTCTTCTAAAAATAGAAGAGCTAACACAGAAGTAATAAAAAAACCAAGGATTCAGCTAGTGAAGAGAACTGGAAGACGATGCCTTATTTGGCCTCTACATTGTCAATGAAAACCGTCCATAGTAAAAACACGTGAGATCCTAGGAAAAGGAAATTCTCAGATGTGCCTCTCACAAAGGGCATTTAATAGACTGCCGTGGTTACCTATTAACTCCTTTCCTCTCCGAACAGCCAGGCAGGCAGGCAGCACAGCAGTGCTGCAGAGAGCACAGGGGCCAGCACTGTGCCCCATGCACTGCTCCACACCGCCAGTGATTCAGTGGTGCCTGCGTGCTGTGCCGGCACTCTGCACAGTGGCGAATTTGCTCTGAGAAAGCTGGTTTATGGCTCGCAAGAAGATTCACACCATCCAGCCCTCCAGCTCACAGTCCCAAAGCACCATCTGGCAACAGCCCACCATCAGTCACTCTGCTGGCCTGAGCAGGGACTCTCAGTGTCCCTGTCTCAGGAAACACATTCATCTTCCCCAGCAAGAAGTATGAGAAAATCAGGTAGAAGAGTTCATTGCAATGTGAAGCAGACCAAGGATGGCCACGGCAAAGCAGCTCTGCCAGACAGGGCAGAAGAGGCAGCCAGGACCATGCTCTTGCCTGCACAGCCAGATGGAAACAGCCCCAAGCTCTCCCCTGCCCTCGGTTACAGAGCAGCACAACAGAGCTGGGTAAGCTGGCTGTGCTTGTGGTGCCTGAGAACACATAGCTGTGCTGGATGCTGTGAACTCTAGGGCAAGATCTGGCTAGTTCAGGATTAACTTAAAAACAGTGAATGAGAAAGGGTGAAAAAAAAAGCAACCCTCAAGCAAAGCAATCAAATAAGATGGGTAAGAAAAGGGAGGTTCAGACTTCTCAGCTCAGCTTCCATCTCTCCTGTAGTGGCAAAGTCCTCCTTCCACCTTCCCTCACACCATCACCTGCCCTGCTCACGGTTTGACTGCTGGGACCATGGGAGAAGTGAAAGATGTCCTTGTGGGGGCCCAGGGCAGGACCAACCATCCCCAGACCCCCTTTGCCTGATCTCTCCTACCCCTGTCCCCCAACATTAAAGTGCTGTTCTAACCTGAAAAGCAGA